CGGGCGCCGGGGCCAGCCTGCGGGGCGCGCCCGCCTCCGCCCTGGGCCGGGGCGCCCCGTCGCGCCTCCAGGGCCACCTGGATTCTCCTGCCGTGCTCCAGGCAGGCGCCGAGTTCCCTCGTGCATGCTTGCAGTTATTTATTCTCTGATCATTTCCTGAGCACCTACTGTGTGTCAGGCCCTCGGCGATTTCATGGCAAACAATCGCGCTCAACGTGTCTGAAACCAGGAGTCCTCTAGCACGGCTCTGGTTCGGCGGGGGTCCTGCTGACTCCCAGGCCAGCGCTTGTCCCCTTGCTCTAGTAAGCGTCCCAGGTTCAACCTTACCAAAGCTTGTAGGACTCTCCCTGGTCTGTGCTCCTGCATGCTTCTTCCTCCTCCTATCACACCTGCCTTTCTGCAACACCTGGGCCCCCTTCCTGTCCATCGACTACTCAAGGCTTGAGTGTCCAGCCTCGGGGCTTTTGCACTTGTCTTTCCTTCTATGTGGGACATCTTTGCGCAGCTTTCACGAGGCGGGCGCCCCCTCATTGTATACTTGTCCCTCCCTCAGAGAGGGATTCCCGGACCACATTCCTAAATTATCCCCTCTGTTCCTGGCCACTCTCCCAAGTATTTCTTTTTCTTCATAGCACTTATCACTGTTTATCTCTTCAACAGATACTGGGTAACTATTCCAGTTCTTAAGACATGGTGAAGTTTATCTCTTCAACAGATACTGGGTAACTATTCCAGTTCTTAAGACATGGTGAACAGATAAACCCTGTCTCCTGGTGGTTTAGGGGAGGAAGATAGGTAACAGCTAAACAGCAAATTAGCAAAATTATGCAGTATATTAGAAGGTGAGATGTTCTACGAGAGGGAGAGAGCAAGGTAAAGGCTGCTTGAGGGTGGAGGTAGTGAAACTTTCAGTGAAGGCTAGATCAGGTAACACTGAAGTGACATTTCACACGCAGATAAACGGGGAAGACTTCCTGGCAGAGTTGACAGTGCAAAGACCCTTAAAGCGCAGGACTACTTGGGACGGCAAGGAGGACAGAGGAACAGATGAGGTCCGTAACGGGCTTTTCCTCTGATTTGCTTACTTCTTAAGGTGCATCCCCTTAGGGAATGTCAGCTCTGGCTGCAACTTTGCCTGTTTCTACGATAGTGACCTGGTCCCTACAACAGAACTGGGCACAACAGCAGGTGCCGAAAACTCGCATTCCCACGTGAAGGACGGGATGGACAACGCTGCAACACCCCGGATCGGCCCTTAGTACCCAAGGTCCAGGAAGCCAGTTGGCCCAGGGCCATACGGAGGCACTGGCAGCAGTTGGAACCTCACTTCGGTCCTTGGCCCCGGGTCGCACGTCCTGGGACAACGGGCGATGCCCCGGCGTCGAGTCGGGGCGGGGGGGGGGGGGAATTCCGACAGATCCCGGGAGTCCGGGGAGCAGGACAGTCGGTGCCTCGCCCCGCCCGCCTTCAGGTCTCAGGCAAAACCTGGACACGCCTCGCCGGCTCGGCCAGTTCGGACCGGCGGGGAGTGCACTGAGCATGCTCGGAGCTGGGCCGGGAGCGCCAGGAAGGAGGAGCCTCCTTGGAGGGGCCGGCGGCGTTCCCCGAGGAGTCTCTACCCGCATTTGGCTTCTTGCCATTTCCGCCCCCTCTCCGGAAGAGCTGGGGGCTTTATTCAAAGCTAAGTGGGAAAACTTGAATTTCAGGATGGCCGACGACGTTCTCAGCTATTTCGCATTTGCTGTGTGATTTGGAACAAGCGCCTTACCCTCCCTGTGCGTCAAGTAATAGGAATACGTAGACTACAATCCGTAGACTACAATCCGGGCCGAGTGTAGAAATGGAATGAAATCAAGAATGTGAATGTCTTTAGTTCATTTTAAATATCCACTTCTTGAGTGCCTACCTCAGTTACCCGCCATCACCATACCAGTTTGTTGAGATGAGACTGAAGTTAACGGACATACGAATTCTTGACGTTGTCTCAATTTGCTATTAGATCGAAACCAACTTTTCTTTCCCCATCAACAACAGTTATTAGTTTAAACGTTCTCAAATTCGAGCTAGAAATATCCATACACCTAAGGGAAAAGATCTAAATATTACATATATATTGGGATTTTGCCATAGGGCATGCGCTAACCAGCGAGAGACAGGAGAGGGAAAGTGAGAAATAACCCCTCATGGGTGATGGTCATATTGCAGTCCCTGTATCCATTCTCCTTCTGGGACTTTGGGTGCAATTTTCAAGCAGCGGGGTCCAGGACTCAAACCATGGTCGGCCATGTGGGAGTCCAGCACCTTAACTAACTTGCCACCTGCCGGCCCTGAGACCTAAATATTTTTAAAATCATGTATTAAAAATCACCATAATAGAGGGCCAGCAGGTGGCATGGTGAATAAGGGCCCTGGACTTGCACATACATGGTGGACCACGGTTCCAGTCCCAGACCTGGTGGCTTGCTTTCTCATTTTCTTTCTCTCTCTCTCCCTCTACTTTGGTCAAATTAAAAATAAATAAAATAAAGTTCAATAAAATTAAATTTTAAAAAACATAATAGAAACAGGCACAAATTGAAAGTATGCTCCTCAACTTTCAAACAAACTAAACGCTCAACACCTAAAGGAATGATGAATTTGTGTATGGTATATTAGCTGTGGTAACTATTTTACACTAAAATTTGAAAAGTGAGGGAAGGCAGCAGATGGCATGGTGGTTAAGACTGGATCCCACATGACTGACACCATTGTTTTAGTCCCAATCTGGCAGCTTCAAAAATACAAGGTGTTGGGACGAGCAGTTAGCATAATGGCTATGTCTCTGAACTCCCATGTAATCGACCTCAGTTCGAGTCCCAGGTCTGGTGGCTTAAACTCACGCTGGGCGCGTGAGCGTGCCTGCCCAAGATCCCGAGAGGATAATGGAGGAGAAGGAATTGCTGCATGGCCATCCCCCGTGGGGGGTGATTTCTCACTTTCTGTCTCTCTCTCTGTGTCTTTCTGGAGAGCGCACGCGCCCTATAGCAAAAACCTTTCCAAAAAAGGAAAAATACAAGGTGTGTGTGCACACGTGTGCCCAAAATCCCCAAGAGGAGAGTGGAGAAGGGATTGCTGAGTGGCCATCCGCCCAGGGCTGATTTCTCACTTTGCTCTCTCTCTCTCCAAGGTGCACATGCCCTAAAGCGAAAATCTAAAATGAAACAAAACAAAAACTGAGAGGGGACTTAGGGTACAATGTTAAGTGACAGAAGTTGAAAATACAAATTATGTAACAATAATATTGATACAGTCACCGAGATTAGGAGGAAATATGGGAAAATGTAAATAGATTGTTTTTTTTGGGGGGGCAGGTTTTTTTTTTTTTTAATGTCTTGATGTTACCAATGATATGTTCAGGACCAGCAGACAATGAAATGGTTATGTTGCTGGACTCACACACAGTTGACTACGATTCAAGTCCCAGACCTGGTGGCTTAAGTTTCATTCTCCTGAGAAGAGAATGGGGGAGAAAGGAGTGCAGTATGGCCATCCCTCCTGGGGGGTGAATTCTCACTTTCTG